CTCCCTTATTACGAGTGATGTTGAACATTTTTTCATATGCCTGTTGGCCATCTGCATTCCTCTTTGGAGAAGTGTCTTTTTAGCTCTACTGCCCACATAAATAAATCTTTTAACAAAAAAAACCTGTCTTCATTCAAGCAGTTTGTTTCAGTAAGCTTTGCTATCAGGAACTTGAGCCAGAATCTCAGGCAGAGATAACTTGCTCCTAATTCCCACACCTCCACCTGTCCCATCCTTCAGGAGTTCATCCCTTTCTCTCCTTGCTCAGTCAGTGCATCCTCTCTCACTGCTTGCACCTGGGCCTTCTCCCTGCAGCCCTGCCCACATGGTCGCCAGACTGTGACACTTGAATCATTCCCTTTGATTATGCTGCTCTGCCGTTTCAAATGCATCTTATTCCTTCTGAGCAAAGCAAAGCCCGAGCCTGGACAACAAAGAACCTTTTCTTTGCAGTCTCCCCTACCTTTCCAGCATCGTAGACAATTGTGGAAGCCTGTGCATGCTGCTCTCATCAGTGGTGCTGTTTGCACTTGTCTCCTTTGCTGAGATGGGCAATTTTTGGCTTGCTGGGAAAGATTCCGCCCCTTCCTTGATAAAGTGGTTTTAACTGCAGACCGCAAATGAGGTGTTCGCTGCTTCCTCTGTTCGCTGCTTTTTACCTTTATACCTTCCTTTCCGCTACCTTGTTGACACCTTAGATTTCACACCGTTACCATAGCCATTCATGGGGCTGATCTCCATTAGTTTTGCCTTTTCATGTTTAGCCCTCTTTCCCTCGATGCATGTATTTCTCCAAGTGCCTAGAATTTATTTATTACAAACTAAGTGGTACTGAATAATTAATTGTTGGTGGTCAGTTAGGCTGTATCCTTTCCATGAAAGGAATTTTGAGTGTCAACGAGAAGCTGATCAGTCTGTGGGCACTGGCCAAAAGCCGAGGACGGGATACATGTGGTTACTGCGCTCACTGAGCTCACAGGTGGCCTGGAAAGACAGTTAAGCCAGCAAGAACAATATATGGTAATAGATGAGGGGGGATGGTATGTGACTAGTCTGGGGTGAGGAAAATGATGGTAATCTGTGTGTATTAGAAGTCAGTGTTTGACAGACCCCAGGGGTAGTTTGTAGTTTGTTTACTGAAAGAAAATCTAAGCAACAAAATGTAAACAGACTTGAGTTTCTGAAGGATTTACCTTTGTGATTTAGTGCAGAGACTGCGGCAGGGACTCAACTAGAGACAGGGGAACCAAGTGAAAGTATTACAGTAATCTAATAATCTCATTTAAAGCTAGGGAAAGTTAAGCAAGGGAATTTTTAGAGAAAAGGAGACGTCTGTGTACAGCAATACAGCAGACAACATATTAACAAAGATATTCCTGCAACAAACCAAATATCCCAGAGAAATCATCTTACAGTAAAAACACAAATACCACAAGAAAGTAAATATTAAGGGCTGGAAGACAAGAAAGCAGAAATTCAGAGTGTTGATATTGCCTGAAACAGAAACTTCCCTGCCACCATTTGCTAAAACCTTTGAGTATTTCCATCAGGTGTCAACTTCACACAGCAAGGTTCGCTAACTCGTGCATACGTCAATGAATTTTGATAAATGCATACATTCATATAAACACTGCCATTTTAGACAACATACCTCTGTCATCAGTCCGCTCCCTCCATTCTTGGACCCAATAACTACTGATTTGCATTCTGTCACTTTAATTTTGGCATTTCTAAGATGTTCTAAGATGTCATGTAAATATACCACATTTTTGGGCATTCATCCATTGTTTTTATGGATAATATATTCCTTTATACTGCTGAGTAATATAGTTCATGATGCAGACATACCACGACTTCTTTATTCACCTATCAGCGGGTGATGCTGGGCTGGTTCCCGTTACCGCCCCACTCTACCCACATCTGTGGGCGTTTATGCTGAGAGAAAGTTGCCTGAACCTGAGAAAATGTCAGTGCTGGAGGGAGTGAACGCCTCCTAACCCAACATCTTTTGTGTCTCAGAACAGGATTTAGGTGTTCATATGGCAAAGCACAGCATCACCAAGAGGCATGGCTTTAGTTCGGGTTGTTATGTCTTGAGCAGCAAGTCTTACCTCCAATTCCAGAGCAGCACAGCTCCTTGAAACGAGCTGGAGCGCATCTCCTGTATCATCTGCCACCTGCAAAGTGCTTAGGCTTCAACTAGCGAAAGGTCAAGCTGCCAAT